TGGCAAGATAGGAGACATCTCCAGCTCAGACAGTTTTATTTTTCTAACAGAGTGGTTAGCCTTTGGAATGGGTTGCCTTCAGATGTTGTAGAGGCAGTAAATTTAAGTGAGTTTAACGAAAAGCTTGATAAGTATATGAATGAAAAGGGCTGGGTTTAATTTTTTTTATTTATTTATTTCAATCATTTTAATTTAGTTTTGAGGATGGAACAGCCGAGATGGACCAATAGGTCCCATGTTGTCCCAAAACATTATGTTATATGTTCTGTTAATTGATTGATAAGCCCACTGATTAAATAATTAACAAATACCATTAATCAACACCGAATTACCTGTCATTATTCTAAATAACTGTTTTTTACACATGCACTTACTATGAAGTTGTACTTTACAAAAAAAAAACAAAAAAAACTGAAGGCTATTATTATACAGCACAGACATCACTCACCTATAAAGTAATAGTACTACTATTATCATTAGTTATAGTAGCAGTTTAGTATCACGTCATTACATTTGCAAGATTTCTTAGAGATTTTAAAAGCGCCTGTTGTAATATATTACTGTCTTCATCATATTAGCTTAATTTCCCTATTACTATTAGTACTATACGATTACTAGTTATAGTTATACATTACATCATACATGTTGAAGTTGACGTTGAAATAAAAGTGAAATTAAAACATAACTTTTGGAAGTGAAATAAATAAGAATGTTACCTGTTACTAATTTAGACCTTGTTCATAAACTGCAACTTAAAGTTGAAGTGAAACGTTTGACTACGTTATTTTACCTCTATTTCGTTATATATGTGACTAATGGTTAAAATGACAAATTGCGTAACAAAAACACGGGACGTTTGATAAGTAAAATAACGTCATAACAGTCTTAAGTATAATCATGTGACAAATATGTAATTTGTGTTTTTCCGTAGATGGCGCTTTCAAACTGATATTGGACTATGAATCTAGCAGATAACAACATAAATAATTGAATATTATAATTGTTAAAATACTTAAAAATATTTATCATTTAAATTAAATAGTAATCTCTTATTCCAGCTAATGTAGACTAAATATTTATTTACATACATAGTCTTCATGCATCTTGTAAGGATATACATAATGCATTGACCTCATACATCGCTCGTTCTCGTCATTGTTACGCCAGAAGTGTCATTAAATCATAAGAACATGAATTATTACATCCTTACGTGTAATGCTGTTTGCATTATAATGATCTTCTGTGAGTTAGCAGCTCACTGAATCCAGGATTGTTCATATCCTGTTGCTTAATAAAATTGATTGATAATACGCTTCAATTAGTTTGATTTTACAGCTATCATATAATATGTGGTTGTCCTTACAAATATACTCCTATTCTTTTCCCTTTTCTTGATTTTGTTATAGCTAAATCAGTGCATTTCCAAATCCAATAAGGGCTTTTTATCATCCTTAAGACGTATTATACTGTTGCGTCAGCAAGGTCACGTGATTAATGTCACGCCACGTTTTCTAGAAATATCCTGTTCCTTCGTGAATGCCCTAGCATTTACTAGATTGGGGGTAGCTGGTATATATAAGATGGTGACAACGTGACGGGATAATGCGTAGGTAGTGAGTAATTGAACTGCAGTCAGAGAGTATTCTTGAAGTTGAGCACATTCGTTGTTATAGTGATTGTTATAGCGCGACTCTTGAAATTAAGTGTATCGTAAAGTTGTATTCGGAAAGAATAAACCAGTTTTAGTAAGTAAGAACTTGTGTCGCTAAAGTTTCGTCGGAACGAAGTTACGGGAAATCAATTAACAAACGGAGACGTAACAATACGATTTTTTTAGAGTTAATTGTAACAAAAATGCAATGCGAGACTACAAATACGAGTTCTCAACACATTAAAGGTTTTACCTATGTAGGAAAATACAAAACAGTCCTTTAAAATTTCGAGCAAAGTTTCAAAAGAAGACAAATATATGTCAAATTGTAACGTTTCAGGAACAAATCCAAAACATAATCCATGTGCTAATGTTCTTTTTTTCCAAATCATTAAATTTATAAAAGGATATACATTGGTAATAACGCCATTCGGTTTGTTTATAAACGAGTTCCAATGTTGTTTGGAACATAGCTGATTGATTCTAAGTTGTGATAACAAATTACTACTTTCCTTATGAATTGAATTTTCCTTAACATGTTTCAGTTAAGTGTAACACCGTTATCACTTTGTGATGGTTAATCAAGCTGAACATGAGGCTCAGTTGAGGATTTATAAGAATCTAATAATTGCAATTCTGAAACCAAGAACCCCCAATTTCATTGGTACTTTTTCTCCTTAAGCAATAAAAGCATCTGGATTCCCTTATTGAATATTGTTCTGGTATAGAAGTTCAAGACAATGACAATGGTTCATTGAATTGCTCATGAAATTTGCTTATGTGTTTGAGTGACCAGACAGCCACCTGAATAGGACAACAGTAATACCTCATTGCACGAAATAGATAATGCGCATATAACATAACTGATGTGCTGACATTGTCTTGGAACAACAGGGATGCTGCTAGCATTTATAAAGAGTTGATGTTGAAGGGCAGAAAGATATAACTTTTGAAGGGTGCTTGATAATTTACAGAGGTTGTTGCAAAGAAGGAGAAGATGAGAGGCCAAAGTCCAGCATGGGCCTTAAATGAGTGAATATAGTTATGTTCATCAAAACCTTTCCTTTGCCACAGGCAGACTAATATCTGGGAATGTGGGAAAGTAACCATTGACACATTGTGCTAGATCTGGCTTCCAGCTACTGGAAATTTGAACTGAACAATGTGAATTGATCTATAACCGAACAATGTGAATTGATCTATGACAGTTTTTAGCTCTTGGGAGGGAATGTATAAATTTTGCATTATGTTATTTGGCCTGTATATGCACCTAAGAGGAATGTAATGAATAATATGTCTCACCTATTTAAATGGCATACGAGTTTTGGTCACTCGTTTCAGGCCACTTCTGGGAATCCTAGCGTGATATTTCAGCATATCAAAGGTGTAGGATTCTCATTGGAACTAGGAAAATGTGTACTAATATGCACTCAAGTACAGTTCCATAGTTGCATTGTAAGAAGAAACAAAGTGTTTAACTGATCCAACAAAGACTACAGTAGTCAAGGACTGGCCCTTGCCTCAGACCAAATGAGACTATATTTCAAGGTTTTGCATCATATTATTGATAAGTTGTGTTCCTTTTCTAATGGGTAGCCATACTATTGTCTGCACTAATTAAGGATGACAAACACTTCAGATGGGTTGATAACTGTGGTAATTAGTTACAATCCTTAAAGTAACATTGTGGTAAATGTCAAGCATTATCACCATTAATTGAATAAAAGAAAGTTTACTAATCAAGTGGACTATTTGCCACTTAAAAAATCTGTTGTTTATGATTGAATTGTACAGTGCTAACTGGGTCAATAGCACATGGATTATTTTGCCAAGCAATGAGAGCTTATTCATTTATTGAATCTTCTGACCCCATACATTGTAGAATGACGAAAGTCTTTGCAACAGCACTTGGAACAGACTATGGTAATGGTAACAATTCGGTGCAACTACGGCGTGCGGTCTACAAAAATACAGTATTTACACTATAGCGGGCGGTCTACACAGATACTATTATCATCACCGTTTTAATGATTCACTAAAACATAATTTCATGCTAAATGATTTATATCTATCCACGTTTTTATTCAGCAAATAATAATAATTTAATAAGTTCTGTGTTCCAAAAGAGTACCTTAAATTTAGGTTATAATTGCGCTAGTTTTGATTGTTGTTTGTTTGTTATTAAGCACAAAGCTACACAAAGGACTATCTGTGCTCTGCCTACCACTTGATTGTTGGAATTTATTACATTCCGATTATATTTGTCCCAAAGACATTATGTAATGGTATTTTGTACTTTATTGGTTTAAAAGCGTTATATATAATAAATGGCGCTAATTGCAAATGAAAGAAAGTTAAAACGGTGATGATGATAGTACCTGTGTATACCGCTCGCTATAGTAGCACCAACAATTTTATGAATGGATAGACACCTCAACTACAAAGCTTCGAAAACGGTAACTGGCAAATGTGACACTTTTATAATCAGTTATGAATAGGCTAGGAAACCATTATTATGGGCCATAGAAATGCGGTAGCCAACATGTGAAATAGCTAGTAGTTTCCACAGCGCTAAGGCATTAGGTAAATTCCATAGTACAAAGATTGGAATATGAAATGGTATGTCGTCATTCATGATTGTTAAAGTGCTGAGTATTATCTCTGTTACATATGTAGTGTTGCTCAGAGAAGAGCCAGCTATATCAGGGTAAACTCCAATAAAACTACACTGTAGAGAATCACTGAATCTTATCTATTGGCCAATATATCATTGCAGCTTATTACTGATATCTTGGCTGAACTCTGATTAAAATTTAAGTTCATCCGGAATTTGAGAGCTGTAAATCAGTAATTTTCATATACGTAAATATTTATTGATATTTTTGTTTGTACAATTCAAATGTGCTTTCCTTATTATTAATATAATAATTTAATTAAATAACTTCATGACAATGAGTTTAATCAACTTAAAGTTATAACTTAGTTAATATTACAAGTTTTCCTCTATTATAGAAACCTCTGTGTCTGAGGGACAACAAAAATCAGAGCATTAAAGAATGTGTAGCACCTTTACAATATCCTAGTTTCCACATTACAGAAATAAGACATACAACTGTAATTATAAATGTATCTATTTTTTTTATTTGGACCACATATTGTTTACATAAAAAGTGACAATCTTCTTTCTTCTAATAGTGATTAATTGCAATGGTATTAATAAAACAGTTATATATATACATAATTAATACTCTAGCAAAGTTTTAAATATGAGACAGAAACAGTGAGACCATTAAAGAATTGCTCAGTCGAGTAGCTGTCATACTATAAATGTACAAACTGCAATCATTTTCTATGTCAGTTATGAAGAGAGTATTTTAAACAAGAAAGTAGCTAAAAAATAAACAAAAAGTAGGATACGATGTACCTAATAAATAATCTCCTTGTTAAATACATTGTAAGACAGTACTTACACCTAAAAATAAAAAAATAAAAACATTACATGAACATATGAAGTAAAATATTTTGATAAGCAAACTGTTTTCTGAAATGGGATGTTTTAAAACATCTATAGTCTACTTAAGATTCTGCACAGCAGCCCTCACAGCCATTTTCTTGTTCCCTAGTTCACCACTTGATTTAGCAGAGATTCTGTTATTTCTTTACATAGATATGAAGCCTCAGAAAGAAGACCTTAGTCAAGTTTATTCTTTATACTATGACAAGAGGGTATACTTATATCCTGGGTAAGTGTCTCTGTCTGCTTGACAAGTCAAGTTCTTGCACCTACGTAGTGTGTCCTGAGCTCTTCTAAAAGAGGTGTTCCGCGTGATTGAAGATGTTCATGAATTCTTCGGAACAGTAGGTAAGACTGCCTTCTATACATTCTTTCAATTTTGTGTGTTTCTGTGATTGTCTTTGTTCCTTTAGAGTTTCTAAACATGTTAAGCACAAATTCTTCCTTTTTTTTCACTTTGACAATACAGTAATCAGCTAAGTTGTATAGGTTGCTTTGCTCTGCTCGGCTAAGTACTGGGCTGTGTAAACTCTTTGTTTGTGAAAGGGGAGGGAGTGATGTCTCACACCCTTACACCTACCATAACTAGTGAATCTTTTGGTTGTAAGCAATCTTCATCTTCAGATGACATATTCTAGTAGGAATATTCAAGCAATATGCTATTGCTCGGATTGTCTGGTTCCTCATTAACATCTATTCGACATCTTTTACGAGGA